GCACATACTCGGTACCATGCACCAAGTTGTTTACATGGATTAACTCATTCTCCTCTTCTTACTGAAAAAGCTTTTATTAGCCATATTTTACAGAGAAGTAAACTAAGGCCCACAGAGTTTAAATAACTTTTCTAAAGTTACACAGCTGGCAAATGTGGGTATAGAGATTTTTGAGTTTCAGCATATACATGGTAGAAGGGACCAGGGGAATCTTTAAGGACTCCCTTGGAAGTCACATAGAAACAATAGAGCTCCAGATGCCACTCTGGGGAGACAATGGCATTAAAGAATATGCAGAAAAGGAAGGGCCTTGAAAAGATACTTGCAAACAGCAATATTGGCAAATGGGTACAAAGGGAAAAATTCTGGGATGTGCAATAGAAACAACCTAAATACCCAGCACTGGGGAATTTTTTTATTAGATTATGTTACAATCTACAAAGCAGATTGCAGTGTAGCCATTTTTTAAAGTGATGTTACAGGGTAAATTTTACTGATTAAAATATTTGACGTGTTACGTGAAAACCACAGCAGATTACAAAATGGTAGGAGATCATTTTTATTTCTTAAAATGTATGTTTGAAAGACAAGAGGGATTATACCCTTAAGACTGGAAAGACACAAATATATTAACAGAATTTCCCTCAGGATTGGACATTTATGGGTAATTTTAAAAAATGTACCCAGTAAATATGTATTTTCAAAAGGAGAAAGATCGGGTGGGTGGGTGGGTGGGTTGTTGAAGGGTTAAGACTTCTCTGGGAAATGAAGACCGTGCCTCGAGCAGTTCACTGTTAATTCCTGAAACCAGGGGAAGAGGCGGTGAAGATGGAGTTGGGCGGACACGTATCGGGATGGCTGGAGGGACTCAGGTTAGGAACTAGTCCCTTCCTAATTGTACATTCAAGGCCTGTGGTCTGGCGTGCAAACCTCCCTTTCTCTCCTTTTGTCTGTGATGGTTCAGGTCGTGTCTTTGTCTGAAGGCCAGGTGACCAGGAATTCTTACTGTCGTTGCTATAAGACCTAGTTGTTTTTGTTTTGTTGTTGATTTTTTTTTTTGTCTCTTTTCATTTCTTGCTTTTATAATGGAGGGAAATATTTTTAGCTTTTCACAGCAGGCTTTGAAACCTTGTCATGGAGAGTACTCCATCACCTCAAGCTGCTAGTTAGCGTGCAACCTGTTTGCTAATAAACCAAAGCAGGACCGCGATGTCAGAATGCTTAAAATGGCCAAATCAGCTGGGACCCCGTCTCCACATCTGACATGCCTTTTCCATTTCCCAGCCTCATGCAGAACATAAACCTGCATCGGGAGGTGGCTCAATCTGAACTCTTATAAATTGGAGTGGGTATCTAGGGATCGGGGAGCAGACACTTCTTCCTTTAACCTTTGAAGACCAAGAATCATTTGGCAAAAAAAAATCCACAGTGTATTGAACTTAGGGTGTGAAAGCTGTACAGTGTATTAAATGTGAATTTGAGACCATGAATTCTACCCACACTGACTCTATAAAACAGCCTCCCTTTTTCATAAAGCAGGCCCATAAACTGCTGCCAGTGAAGCAGAAAGACTCCTTAGGACTGTGGCTCGCTTTCCGTCTGGGGTTGTCAACAAACCCCCTTTATGAGTGAAATAGCCCCTTGTATGTGTCGAGCTTCTGGCTTTTTACAGAGTGTGTTAGGATCCAGGCAAGGCAAACGTTAGGCACTGTTTGCTGAGTGCATTTATTGCCTTTGCATAATTTATGAGCTGGAGGGGTTGACCATCATTCGTCTCTGCCAGGGGCTGGCACTCGAGGCTCCAGAGAGTGGAGCTGTAAATTGGATGGTGCGCTCCTGCTGAGCTCAAGGCAAAGTCCTCGGGTCAGTATGGGAATTTAATACCAGAAATGGAACTGTTTTCTCAGCGCACCATGTGGACCCCAGTGCAGCAGAGACTGTTTTGGCAGACTCCACGACTGGCCTTGTCGAAGAGCTGTCACTCACCCGGCATGTTGTGTGGGGAGCCTGAGCATTTTTAATCGGCTTGGCATCCGTGCTGCTTCCATAATGGATACCAGTAGGTCTCAGTTCTTCACCATATGCTTAACTCTGGAGACAAGGTGCTTCTGGGTATATCAGTAATTACTTGATGGAGAATTAAGTGGACCTTGAAATTAGAACTGGACTGTTGGAAAGCAGGAAGCTTAACACTTAGATAGAAATAACCATTCCCAGGGACATACTGCTGTTAGGATAGGAGGCACAGTGGTGGTTCTTTTCCAACTGCTCCACTCCTCCTCCTCTCTCACATCAGAACCTTGGGGAGGTGAGCACAGGCGATGCCACAGCCTTCAGCTGTCACTGATTACCTCATATGGAGCCCTGTGGACATCTGGGAACATGAGCCTGCCTGGCAAAATGCTCTTCTGTCTTCCACATCCCTTCTGAGCTGCGCGTTGTCATTCTCAAAAATGTGCCCGAATCTTAGGAACCTCAAGGAGGGCTTAATTAAGGCAATGGAGAGATCACACAATCAGGACACTATTGTTCCTCATCCCCCTGCGGTTCTAGGCATTCAAAGTCTTTGTCTCATCCAATTTCTTTCCCAACTCATTTGATGTATTATAATAAAGAAACTACTCATCAGGTAAAGGAATATAAATGTAGACAATCTGAGGTTGGAAGCTGGGTCGGAAATGAGGCATTGCACTTGGTGAAATCACTGTCACTGAATACCTGACTACCCTGTGGCACTGAGGAGCGAATGGGAGAAGTAGAAAGTGTTCTGATCCTTCAGTCTGTAAGACTGTGATATAAGTTCCTGAATGCTTTTGGTACAGAGTGCTTAGTCTAAAAAGAATAAGTAGTCCCCAGGTTGTCTCATAATAGCAAGAAGCCCAGTTGGATGGATGTCTTGTTACTTCCCATTAAAAGCACTCTGATAGGAGCTTACACAATAAGGTAACTTAGTGTTTTCCGAATAAAAAAAGTCCTGAGGCAGGCTGCTCTGGGATGGGTTCAGCAGTCCAATTGTGTCAGGCTTTTTTCCCTTGTTCCCACTCTGTTGTTTTTGTACTGAGTCTTTTTGCCTCATTTTTGCAAAATGGCTGCTACATATCCAGACATCACGTCCTTATACATTCACATTCGAAGGCCAGAGGCAGGTGGTTCCTTCTTTTCTTTTTTTGTTTTGTTTACTGGGGAAACAAAATTGTTTCTAGAGCCCTCAGCCTCAGCAGACTTCAGAATCCCCTTGGCCAAAGATGGGTCTTACAGTCTCACCTTTAGCTGCAATAAAAATTGGGAAAGAAAATACCTGGCATTTTTAGCCTCAAAGTGTCAGGAGAAGGTACAGATTAGGGAGAAGGGAGTTGTGAATGGTTGTGGGGATCTAACCAGCGTGGCTGCCCTATGTGCAAATTTATTTCCTGTTTCTGTTTAAAGCTGCGCCAACTCCCATGTCCAGGTGGCCACACTAAAAATCCCTGGCATCGTCCTAGACGCATCGTGTTACTTGCTTCCCATCTCCATGTGTTATCGGATCCTGTTGGTTCTACCTTCTGAATTGCTCCGCCATCTGCTTCTCCCTTCCTAAACCATGCTACCACCCTGAGTTAGACAGTGCAATGGCCGCCAAACCGCTCTCCCTGTGACCTGTTTTTCCCCCACTGTGCACTCTATCCACAGTCCCACAGAAAGTCATCGTCATGGAAGCAGCTCTGATCATGCCATACCCCTGCTAGTGTCTGTGTCCCAGCTTCATGTCTTACCGCTACACAGAAGGCTCCTTTAGGGCCAGGCCTGTATCTCAGATGAATTTTGGTCTAGCTTAGCAGTTCCTTACCAAGGGCTGTTGAGTGAATGAATGGATATATTTACCTGACGAGCTTTCCTCTGGCAAAACACATCCCCCAGTTTTTCATTTTTCATTTTCAATATTTTCATGAATATTAAATTAACAAAACCCTTCATTTTTTTAAAGTTCTGTTCTTTTTTCCTTTACTTATAATGAGAAACTTAAAGATTGGGGTTAATTTTTAATGATCATTCTCTGCTTACCCCAAACCAAACTTGACGATTGGAATTTGGGATCTGTTTGATATGGTCTGAGTCTGTGGCCCTAAAGCATATTTTTTGCGCATATATTTTATTTACTACCCTGACCTCTTTTCTCTGGGCCTCTAAACTGGAAAAGGCAGCCATCATAACTGGTGGGCCTTGGCCCTTATGTTCTGTTTCCTTCAGAGTTCAAATGAGTGACTACAATGCCCAGAGGTTTACCTCTTTTCCTTTATTTTTTTTATTTTTTTTTAGTTTTTGAGATGGAGTTTTGCTCTTGTTGCCCAGGCGGGAGTGCAGTGGCGCAATCTTGGCTCACTGCCACCTCTACCTCCTGGGTTCAAGTGATTCTCCTGTCTCAGCCTCCTGAGTAGCTAGGATTACAGGCACTCACCAGTACGCCTGACTAATTTTTGGTATTTTTAGTAGAGACGGGTTTCACCGTGTTGGCTAGGCTGGTCTCGAACTCCTGACCTCAGGTGATCCACCCGCCTGGGCATCCCAAAGTGCTGGGATTACAGGCATGAGCCACCGTGCCTTTTTCCTTTAGAAAAGCAACGGAGGGGAGATACAGCCATTCACATTAGCTTAAGTTTGAATGGCTTCGTTAAGAAATTGATTTTGCTCTGAATCTCGCTGAACAATCCTGATTCACCTTAATCCTGTGGTGGTGGGAGGGAAGCGCTCACTTGTGTGATTGACCTGAGGAAGAACCACAGAGTACAGGCGTCAGATGAAATCAACAGAACAACTCTTTTGCGTCAGGATAGCGTTTGGCTTCGGACGCTGTTTACTAGCACTTGAGCTGGAGAACTCTTTCTTTCCAGGAAGACATTTTTTATTTCCTTTACTTATCATGTCCTTTTTTTCGTATGGGGGTTGGGGGAATAGACATGAAAAGCAAAAACATACTGAGTATGTTCTTGCACTAACCCTTATTTTCTTGTCTTCGTTTTCAGTGTGACAGTGACAGTGACCAGGAAGAGAAGGTAAGGCCCCCCTCCCCCATTGTGGGCACAGCACATGACACACTGTGAACACCACAGTCCTGCCACACACAGCTGCAGGGTGGGATGCCAGCTTCATGGTGACAGTACCTTTTCTCTTTAGGAAAGATGGGCATTATTCACACAGTGACATTTCCTATACTATGACATGTTTAGCTTGTCAGATCTTTTTTTTTTAAATAAGACCTTCAATATTACATATATGTGACACTGAGTTTTTACTTTATGGAAGATGACTCATAGACCCAAAAATATTTTAAAAGAGAATATTATTTATTTTGATAACCATCTGATTTTTTAAAATTCATGATGAGAACATTAAACTTGCTAGTATGTAATTTAAATAATGTCATTTCTGCATTTATTTTACTTACCCATATGCTTTTCTGTACCTATTGGCCTTCTTAATAGAAATGTTAATGGTATGTGTCTAAGAATCTCATCATGGGGTATGGGTGGGCAAGGGAGGTCAGATGGGAACTGCCCTCTTCCCATCTGGATGGACGGCCAGGTAGGAGGACAGTTCTTCCAGCAGGTACATGCTCTGTTTCGAGGCTCATGGGCACCAGCCTCTGTGTATCCAGATCAACATGGATCAAGAAAAGGAACTCAGTTTCTGGGGTTCCAGAAGATTGGATCACAACCGGGTAAAGTGAGCTGTCCGTTGCCTGAAGCAAAGGGATTATTTGTCTGTTTGGTCTTTCTTTAGCTTTCTCAATCCCCAACCAAATTTCCTTCCATTTTTACTGCTGCTTTGTGTATTTCAAAAAGAGTTACGTGAACATCATGGTTTCTATACTGCTTGGCATCAAAAGGACGGACTCAGCCCCTCTTCCCCCATTTCTGGATCTGTCCTGTGCCCTGTTCTTTCACTTTCACCTCCTACATTCTTGTGGATTTTATTCAGAATGCTGCGGTTAGTATTTAGTGGGATCTTTCCAACAAACCCAGAATTTTTCCCTCCTTCTCTGCTGCCAGCCTCCAAGAGAGATCTAAAGGCTCTTGTTCTGTACTGTCGTTAATTTGAATTCAGCATATGTAGCCTGTTATAAAATGTGAGACATCATCATTTGAGCAGGTCAAGCATATTCAGATGAAGACAAATGGTGCTTATTTGATTTCCTTAAAATCAGGAAATGAAAAAAGTGCTCTCTGGAGAAATCATGTTCTGCCTGACTTGGATGATAGACCAATGCATGTCCCCCAGATAAGAACAGGCTCTCGCCTTGAGGTTTTTATCTCTGAAGGACGGCCAGGACTGTCAGCTTGCTGACATGTGCATTATCCATGTCATTTTAAACAAAGTGACCTATGGAAGGGTGCGCTGTGCTGTGACATGGTAATGGGCTGTTGGATGACAGCGAAAGTACACACTGGAAAGGGGGCTGTGGATTATTCTTTTGTTTAACTGACAAGTAGGAGCTTCCTTCCTCCAGCCCCCGGGAGCCTTAGCTCCTTGGAAGTAGGACCTCTGGTGTCTCAGGCAGCCAGTGTAGTGGGTGCCAGGGACATGTACACAGCAGTAATGGTTCAGTGTTTAAGGCATGGTCAGTGGCCCCCCGATCCTCCCAGGCCACATTCCCACCTTGTGGGCATCACTGGTACCCAGGGAGGGGCTGGTACCTCCTGGCCATTCCAGATCTATCGGCAATGGTTGGTCTCACTTTCTAAGTCTGTGCCACTTCTCCAAAAGGATAAGTCTTATTCAGGGTTGTATAACCAAGCTGACATTCTTTCCTTAAAAGGAAATATGAATTCCAAAACCATCACCAGTCTTCAGCAGTGGTAGAAGGTGGTAAGGATGCCAGTTTTGTAGTCCTCGTCAGTGTCTTCACCGGTGAGCTCAGTATTAACTACACACCCAGATCACCAGGGGAGCTGCTACGAGTTCCGGTGCCTGGGCCTCATCCCAGGTCAATGATCTCAGAGCCCTTGGGCTGCTGTTTGGAACCATGGGTCTTGATGATCACCTAACTCTGGTAATTTCTAGAAGTAATCTGCCTCTGGCTGTCAGAAGGATCGGGGGCCAATGCTGAGAGCACCCTACCAGGTCCTTTCCCATCACCTGGATTCCTGAGAAGTTATTGCCTGGGTTTCCATCTTCAAGTGCAGGAAACAAAGTGTCAGAATAATGGGTGTTGGGAAGGCAGCTCCCACCCACCACTCTGAGCTTGAGTTGACTTCAGGGTAATGAAGGGGATACGTAGTTGTTTATAGGCGAGTCCAAGAGTGACAGTGGCAGGAAGGGAAGGGGCATTGGGAGTGTTCCTCCGATCCCTGGCGCACCTCCTGCCCTGCACCCCCATTGATTCTTCCTTTCGACTGTGGTGGTCCTGCAGGCCTTACGTGGGAGCCGCACCCCAGCCAGTGCTCACATCTTCTGTCCCTGCTCTACCCCATTCAGTTTCTCCAGAGGGCTCCCAACAGGAGCCATCAAGACTCTAATCGCCCTCGCCCCTGCTTGGCCCTATTGCAGTTAAGACTGCCAGGCTTTCCCTTTTGGACTTAGATTGTCTGGTGTTTATCACCAACTTTAACACCATCCTCCAAGACGCCTGCTCTGTCGCAGCCTGGGCCCCTTTCGGCCCCCTCTGTGAAGGAACCTCTTTCCTGTGCCTGCCTCAGAGCCCCAGAGCTAACCAGGGCTGCTTTCATGTGTTGCTAGGAGGATTCGCATTCAAATCTGAATTGCTAATGGTGGAAAAGATGCCACGCTGTGTCCTGGGATCCCTTCAGCAAGCCCCACCAGGGATGCTGTTGGAGGCAAAAGTGAGACTTGTCGGGGATCCACTGGGGTTTCTCTCTGGCAGACCTGCCATTCTCTTACCCCATAGGGATCTGCAGAACGAGTGGGCTAAAATTAGGGTACTGTGTTTCACACAGCTGACTGAATTAGATAAACTCTGCTTTCCTGCGATATGAAGCTGTAATTTATAAAATGATACCCTTACTAATTAACGTGGAAGTGACTTGGAAAGGAGCTAAAAAAGCAGAGCTTTCCCTAAATGCAGGAGACACACTTGTGCACAAAAAGACTTTGTTGAGACACTGAGCAAAGCATCTCCCTTACATGAATACATCCCACATTAATGTCAGAGAACCGCGAGGACGTTCATAAAGAGTAGAAATTGGCCAGGTGCAGTAGCTCACGCCTGTAATCCCAGCACTTTGGGAGGCTGAGGTGGGCGGATCACGAGGTCAGGAGTTCAAGACCAGCCTAGCCAACATGATGAAACCCTGTCTCTACTAAAGATACAAAAAATTTCCAGGCATGGTGGCATGTGCTTGTAATTCCAGCTACTCAGGAGGATGAGGCAGGAGAATTGCTTGAACCTGGAAAGCAGAGGTTGCAGTGAGCCAAGATCACACCATTGCAATCCAGCCTAGGCAACAAGGTGAGGCTCCGTCTCAAAAAAAAAAAAAAAAAAAAAAGGTAGAAATTGGGTCAGAAGGCTGTGAACACTGCAGCTTAGATGTGGGATTGTTCTTCATTGTAGTAAGAGTGAAGAAAAGAGGCAGCACTTGGCACTGTTAATCACCCAAAATAAGCAATTGATCCCCTATTGGAAGTGAATTGGTATCATGAGAACAAAGAGGAAACATGCCTATTTCCATATATTTAGCCTATATTTTATTTTGTTTCCATTCTTTCTCCACCACTGGCAGCAGCCCATTATGCTAAGAAATATCCCCTATTTGGTGAGGAAGTTAATGTGGAGATTCAAAGTCACTCCCTCTTCTTCTACCCACATCCTTTTTCTTGTATAACATGTGACCGAGTTGATTGGAAGGGGTGTAGCCCAGTGGCCAAGCACGTGGGCCTCAGTGCGATGGCCGACGCATGTTTCTGACTCTCCCTTTCTATTTTGCTGTGGACAAGCCTCAGCTTTCTCAGCTGTCGAATGGGAGTGACAACAGCTCTACACATTGTCCTATAGCAGTTAAATGAAAGCAATTAGGACCAGGCATGGTGGCTTTTGGCTGTAATCCCGGAACTTCAGGAGGCCAAGGCAGCTCTTGTCCTTGAGCCCTGGAGTTTGAGATCAGCCTGGGCAACATAGTGAGACCCTGTCTCTTAAAGAAAAAATCTTTTAAAAATTAACCAGGCATGGTGGCATGTGCCTATAGTCCCAGCTACTCAGGAGGCGGAGGCTGGAGGATTGCTTGAGCCTAGGAGTTTCAAGACTGCAGTGAGCTAAGATCATGCCACTGCGCTCCAGCCTGAGTGACAGAGTGAGACCCTGTCTCTACAAAAATAAAATAAAAATATATGAAGACATGTGGCTCAGTGCCTGGTCTGTAGCAAGTGCTCAATAAATGTTAGCTTTTGTTCATTTTACTTGAGATAAATTGAGAAAGAATACTTGAAAAAAGAGGAAGACTAGCATCCTCTTTGGAAAGCTGGGGTTCTTCTGGAGCACCTGCCAGAGAGTTTCCCCAGAATCTAAGGCTCAGCCTTTATCCCACGGGCCCTTCTGCCTGATAAAGGCTGAATGGAAGTGTTAAATTTTGAAGGGTTCTGAAGCAGTGTTTCTTGAACCCCTTATCCAAACATCAGGCCTTCCTCTCAGCAGAGCCTGGAGCCAAGAGCACATGTTCTGTCCTGGAGGGATCAAATGGTGATTAAGTGGTGGATTGTACAGCTCTTGTCCCTTCAGCAGCTGTTCCCAAATGCCAAACACTGTTGGTTCCCAGAAACCCATCATAGGAGAGAGGTTCTGGGGTGAGGCCAGAGCATCTGTATTTTTTAAAAAGCTTCCTAGATAATTTTGGTACACAACTGGTTTTGGGAATGACTGCCTTATAATAAATGTCAGAGAGAAACATGATCTTTCCCCATGTTTAATTCCCTTGCAATTTTGCCTGCTTAGGTGAAAAGCTTGAACGCTGTAGGGATGTTGCCTGCGTGCACACTCATGAGCCACCCGTGCTGTGTCTGTAGATAGCGGGGATAAGCGTGCCTGCAGTACACACACGTGATC